TATTAATAATTTTAACGTTGGAAGTTAAACAGATTAAGACAATACTTTGGAAGTTATTTCTGAGATCTGTGAAATAGAACTGCTAATTTCTTTTGTTTGCTTATAAGAGTTATCAAATTATAATAATTCTTAATTCCTATTCTTGATTTAATATCTTTTGAAGTTTAACACTGAGAAGTATAATCTCACTTTTGATACCTTTCCATCCAACTGTCGCCCGTGTTAAAACCCTATATCCCGCCGAGTGGTTTGTATCTTCACATTGTACAGTCGTAATCCAGTTTCTAAACATATCGAGATATCTACTCTCATAATGCCGACATAATGGAAGGGCGCGAAGGACGAAGGGGAGTCGCGTAATTTGTAATCATGCGACGCATTATGATTTATCGCGATAAACCTGCGTGTGCTCGCCTCACCTAGAGTCACAACGTACTGGAATATCAACACGTCTATATAATTGTGACCGATGGTCGCCCGATTTTCACAACGCGCCTGCAAATCGACCAGGCAAACATTGTTCGCCCAATCTGATTTTTTGAAAACACGCACCCGATAAAAATATTATCGGATTATTCGGCAGAAACTTTACAACGTATCTCATAAAGAACAGTAGAGATACTAACTATGATATATTCTATAGGTAAACACAAGAAATGTTATTTTAAGTTAAGTATTCTTTTTTTAAGTTTTTATTTAAATATTTATTCATATATATAAAATTAATATTTTTTGAATACAAAAGGTATTTTTGCTTTATTTATTTTCTAAGGAAAATATACTTTTGTACTACAAATGATCTTCTCTCAAACTAAATATTTTAAAAAAAATGGTTATCAAAAAGTTTACATTCATAATTGATGATACTTTACAGCTTAGAGAGTTTAAGCTTTCAGAGTACTCTCTCTTAGAAACTTTTTGCCGTATATTTTTCTACCGTGGCTTATCGGATAGAAGAATTCTGATTTCCACAAACGTCTGTACGTTGTGTTCCATCAACTCATTGTAAAACTGACGAGGGAAACGAAGAACGGAAAGAGAGAAAAAGGTGGAATAATATTTCCATTTCGCTTTATTATGCTCGGAACTAGAAATCTCCTCCTTACCACAGTTTGTGTTGCTATCCTTCCGCAGTATAATTATTCTTCGTTGCAACCGCGTGCAGCTTTTTGCCTCTCCGAACGTTTTTGCTGCGTCTTGGCCGCGGTTTTATAATCACTCGTTGTTTTAGGCGAATAGAAATTTCGTTGTTCCCCTCCCCCTTCTCTCTCTCGTTCTCTCTCTCTCTCTCTCTTCTCTCTCTCTCTCTCTCTCTCTCTCCCCTCTCCCCTCTTTCTCTTTCTTTCCTTCCTTCTATCTTTGTCTATCTCTGCCACTCTTCTTTCTCTCCCGCACCATCTTTCGTGGAGGCATTTTCTCGCTTAACGACGGCGGGAAGAAAAATAAGTAGTGGCACTCATTTTTAATGCAGGACATAAAGCGCTGTGCATCTTGAGAGCAAGCGTGTGCGCGAAATCCACTCGCTAAATTGAATTTTAAAGGAACGTTTGGTTTAAAAACCGATTTGCAGCCAGAATATCGTACTCGCACCTTGAAAAAATTTGAAGGTGCAAGTATGCACTGGTGTGGGTAAGCGTGCAGTTACAGATGTCCCTTATTTATTAAAATTCGTGTTTCCTTATTAAAGATAATCTTATGTGTTTATCTGTTGAATAAATTTAAATATAAATTCTCTTCGCGTACTTATCGTACAATGCAAAACTGTTGTTTTTAATTAAAATTAATCTTTATCAACATAATTAAAAGAAAAAAAATTTTCTTCATTTTTTTTATCATAACACTTTTTGCATATATAAAACTGATTTAGAAAATCGTAATTATTATATAGATCAAATAATATCCCCATCAAATCTAGCCGGAAGTGCTCCAGCTGACGGACTTTCCTCGACGCAGGTTTTCATCATTTTTCGAATTTAATAGCTCGTCCGCAATTGTTTGTATGCTTTTCATCGTAACAGTAAAGTTGTTGAGATTTTTCGCAATGAGAGAAAGATTGAAAGGACAACCGGGGATAAAAAATGGACGAAGCAGGCGCAAAAGAGAAAGAGAGAGAGGAAGCGGTAAGGAGAGAGCAAAAGAGACACTGCAAAACTGAGCACATGGATTTTTACGAGCTACTCGCGAAACGGAAGTCGATAAAAGAAGCGCGGACTGGTCGCTCTCTCGCCTCGTAATTAATTATAAAACGTTCGGTGAGAAGCAGAGACAAGCAGGGGTTTGGAGGAGGACGGTTAGGCGGTACGAGCGGCTATAAAAAATTCTCTATACGAGGCGTAGTCACCTCATGGCCGTACTTGAGCGTGCATTCGCTCGGGCGCAGCACTGTAACAGCGAGATTTTTCCGATCATCCTACGTGAATAAGGAGAGAATTTATAGCAGCAGTAGTTAACGGGTATATAATGGCGACGTTAATGTGCTCGGATATAAGCGGAACGGTAATGCTAATACGGTCGGTTAAAGCGACGTTTTCCAATCGTTTATGCAAATGACACACTATACTTAAACGAGAAATAGCGAAACTTTCGTAAACAAATATGTATATATAATTATCTTATTAGTATTACGAAATTAAAATCCATTATTAGACATTTTCCAAAAGAGCTTATTCAAAATGAAAGAGAGAAACAAGGGATAGGGTATACAGAGATAGAGAGAGAGAGAAAGAAATGAGAATTTAATTATGTAATGGAAATTATGTCTGTGCATTTGCAATCTACAATATGGTCAAAGCAATTCCACGGGAGATGTAAGATTTTAATAATCATGGGGGAGCCATTTTGAAAGAGTTCAGATCACAATGCCGAATATTTCCTCGCACGGCGCCGAATAGACGGATTTCTGCAATCGCGAGCGCCGAATGATGCCTTTGACAGCGGCCATTTCTGAAAGTGCTCCTGCATCTTTGAGAATTTCGTTGTAGCCCGAAGAGAGATGAAAGGATTCGTATTCCCGTTACGGTATTGCGCGATACATCAAACGCAAAACAAATTTGTGTGCGCACGGGGGACGCATTGTGATATCATAAGGTATCATAAGCGATGCTCGTGACCCTTCTCTCTCTCTCCCCCGACCCTCCCATCATCTCGTGGGATGTAATCCCGCTGGCAACGACATTTCTGTAGTATACGTAGTAATGACGAAAAGACATTTCCACGGTGGCGATTCAATTCTCGACACCGCGTACTGATACAGTATAGATGCACTCCAAAAAGAAAACAATGTTATTTGACAATGTTATCCGATATTATTGTTTTGTCATAAATGAAGAAAAAACGAATTTTAAAACAAATAACAGCTTTTCTATAATAATTCAAACATTTATATCCATATAATAACTGACATTCATATTTATTATTTATAATATATTTACAATTTAATTTTACAATAATAATTAATAAAAAAATAATTAATTAAAAAGTAATAGTTACAGAATAAAGATTCCATTTAAGATATTTTATGTTGAGGTAATTTTATAGTTTCTATAAATAATAAAATTGCATTGTGCGATAAAATAAAATTTTCTTTGATTATTTTTAATAAATATCAAGCTTATAATCTGTTTTACTTATCTTACTAAATATCTTTGATAATAATTTTATTAATGTTTCTATATTGAACAATTTAATTGCAAAAGAATACTACGAATAGTAAGACAAATTGCAATCAAAGGTCTAATAGTATCCATGCTATACATACAGGGATGAATTAAACAAAGCGAGTGGCAAAGGGATGAATATCATATCGCAAATTGATAAAATCTGAAAGTTGCTTTATGCTCTTTTACGCGCGATGCGCGACTGATCACGTCGTTTGATTAATCAAAAAACCCGATTCATCTCGATGCAGCTTTATCGATGCATTAACAGCGACACAATTTGCGCTTTATACGCACACGCTCGGCAATTTACTGTGTTTGTGGTCGCGAAAAAACTCGCATAGTAAACAATCGATAAAATATGGCGATCGTCATTGGTCACCATCAAATCTCCATGCGTCCAAATGAACAGAATTGAGAACAGCAGAATTCACGCAAATTCGAGCATATTATAAAAGTTATTGAAAGCTTTTTTTATTTTAGCAATCCTTAAATTTTCATATTTTTCAGTAACACAATTTTTATAGAAAGTTGATTGATATTTGAACAAACATTTTTTTCCGTTTTATTCTTCACTATTCTGCAATTTAAAAAGGTAATTACAGAAACATCTTATAGAAACAATATGAGCTAACGCGAATTAAGCTGATAGATTTATAAAATCCTTTCTGATTGCGTTCTCTTTTAATTTGAGATATTGAAATATATTACTTTGTCTATTTATGATTTTGTGTTATATTTGCAAGAATCTTTCTAAGTATAGAATAATTTTGAGTATAAAATTTTCACTGTTTTATTATTTTCATTATTGCATCAGTTACTTTTTCGATGTTTTACAAAAATGCGTTTATTCACATTAAAGAAAAAAATTTATCTTGACGTAATAATTTATTTGTGCTGATTTATGATGAGTTGGTGCAGGCGCGTACGTCCGTTTTGTTCACGACCCTTCGTTCTCATTCAAACTATTCGTGCGCGCCTAATGAAATATAATTTGTCGTCGTCGGAGAGTTTCACGTCGGCCAGTTATAAATAACGGAAACGCTTTATCGCGAGGATATTAAATCATTGCGCACTCTCGCTTTTCCCCTCTTACTCCACCTCCGTCTTTCGGGCAGCATTTTGTCGCGCGGTAATTTGCCGTAATAACGACGAATTTCCCGAATTTTTTGGCGCTGGCAAATTGATCTCAATGGAATTCCACTTTTATTTTCTTTTTTTCTTCCCACCGTAACGTCGGGTTTTAATCTTGCCCGCCACGCTGCGGCTCGAGAAAAATTTTACAGGTACATTCTTTATGTGCGGACTGGCGTTTTAATATGTACGTTGTCGATTCTGTTTCAGGATCTGGCATCAAGGTGCCGATGGCCATTCTGAATTGCCTCTACGCCCGACAATTGTGCTACGAGGATCCGTCATGCAGCGCCATTTTGGAGATTATACCAAGAGTTTGCGGTCCAGAATTAGGTAAGTTAATTAGGTCATCTTTTCCTAATAATTCGGAGTAATTAATTAATGTGCTCATATTAATTGTTAATAACTTAAATTAAGTTACACCAATTATACGTGCTTATCACAATTTTCATTGTACACACATACATTTAGGATTGAATTAATAATAATCAAATTGGTGATAATCAAAATAGTCGATTATATGTTACTACCATACCTCTAACTTGATAAATCAATCACACAACTTTGATATATCGGATATTATAATAATTCAATGAAATTGATAGTTTAATTACATTTTTATATTCGGTTTAAAAATTATATTTTACGATTTTTAATAAATATATAATAATTTTAATAATTTTAGTTATAATAATTTTTTATGTAAACTTATTTTATTTTTGCAAATTAATGATTTTATTAACGTAAATTATCAAAATAAGCGGAGCTCATAATTTCACCTTTTAGAAACATCTACACCGAATGAATTTTAAAGCTCAATCGATATCTGAAAATTAAATATATTGCTTAAGATTTTATTGAATTGACGTCTTAGCTTTATATCAAATCTTATACAAAAGACATTTTTTTCTTATGATGTATCGTACTTAATGCCTTCTTTATTCTTTTTAAAAGGATAATTTAAATAGTTTACGTAGAAAATATGAAACGTGATTTACTATACGAGTTTATAAATCGAAAAGTTTACGCAAAAATAAAAATCATGATCAATTCTGCAAAATAAAAACTAACCTCGACATTTTTTTATTTTTATATCTATATAAACCATTATTCATGCACCAGATAAATATGATATCGATTCTCACTAAAGAAATGAGATATAGTTTGATATAATCTGTTGTCACAATATGCAGGAAAATTCTAGCAAGAGCTTTAGCTTTTTATAGATCGTGCAATACTTAATCTCATGCAATATATTATTCATACATTCCTTCTTGTAATAATCATGGGTCCTAATGGGTCGCACATGATTCGTAAAATCTCATATTAGTCCGTGTAAAATAAAAGACGGCCCGCGAACGCGACAGCGTCACATTTGAAATTTGCGACGTGAAAGCGTCGTACCGCATTTCCATAAAATTTGCATATGGATTCCCAAATCCCTAGGAATTTCTTATGGAAACGATGATGACATTAATGTTTAAATTTTGAATTCCGTGTGAAAGTCCGCAGAACTTCTAAAAGTATCTTGCCAGCATTTTTTATAAGTGAAGATGAATTCATAGAAACTATTTTGAGTTTGAGGATTGCCATTTTGGTCTGTAGATATTTGACTGACTATTGCAGGTAATATTTATGAAATAAACATTTCTTTGTTTGTATTGATGTAAAAATAACGTCGAGAAATTAGTTATTAACAGCCGAAATATAATTCTAATATTTCTCGTTATATATAACACAAATAGTCGTATATATCTATTTTCAAGTTGTTTATTTTTTTTATCGATTTCATAAAGCAATACCTCTCTCCATAAATGATTATGAATCATAATGGATCCGCGAATGGCAGTGACGTATCGGACATTGATAAATAAAAAGTATCGTTCGTCGCACCGTTCTTAAAACAGAAGTAAAAACCTCAGTAGATTTTCCAAGCTAAAAGCTTTCCGAAAGCAGTGCCATTTGTTTTACTTTCGCCTGGGCGATTACATGATAGATTATTCACGTAACTCCTTGGTATCAGAAAGGAGCGCGGAAGCCGCGGCATAAATCACAATGGACGGTGTCTTTGTTTTAAAAAGCCGCGTGCGCGCACTCCTACCATGTCGAACGAAATAAAATATATAACGGCGCGCTCTCTCTCTCTCTC